TACTTCCACATCGGTTGTTGAGATGGCGATATATTCTTCTCACCATACAACTCTATATGCCTGAACACTAGGGAAACAAAAAGGGCGTTTTGCGTGTTTCTATGGGCAGCCCTTTTCGGGGGTCGGTCCTCCCCCTTCACAGCTCCCGAAAAAAAGGACAAAAAAGTGATGGTAGAATACATGAGACCTGAACTGCACCCTTACACACCCAGCACTCCATCCACGCTGTTGCACCGTTTTTTTCTGCCCTAAGGTGTGGTGAAAAAAAATCTTAGATTAACAAAGGAGAAAAAGGAAAGAAAAAAGTCTTGTTCCTCAAACCTCAAGAAACCTCCTCCCTCCACATGTCTAAATCGTCAAGAAGATTTTATTTAGCAAAGTGAAGGTCATATCCGAGCCACTTTCTTGCCTGGACTTGAGCAACATCGAGACCCGGGTTACCGTATGTGAGCGGCGCAAAGAAGAGGAAGCACCAGAGGACAGCGGCAAGAATGACGCCCGTCGCAATCCAGCTGCCAATGAGGCTTGACGAAGCCACACGCTCGCGAACGGGGCGGGAGGGAGTTCGGCGATGGCCTTTGGCGGCAGTAGATACTTCGGGATCTTGGGGCTCAATGCAGAAGACAAACTCGACAAGCGCGCCAGTGACGAGGCAAGAGGCCAAGTGCGCGGGGAGGTAGTGGTGAAGGAAAAGCTGACGTCCCATGATGTAAAAGGGAATGTAGTGGGCGGCCCAAGTAAGGAAGAAGAAACCAGTCGAGTTGTAGAGACGAGAGCGGGTGCCTACAGGTAAGAATGTTAGAACATCCCCGTCCAATACAAACGACTTTACTAAGTGAAGAGTTTTGGGCTGTTTGTATGAGAGAAACAACTTACGGTCATCGAGAGCATCCATACCACGGCGGAGAGCCAGTTGGTCTGCGCCAATGATACCGACAAAGACGGCCAGAAGCGAAGAGGCAAGCCACCATCCGATGGGATTGCCTAGGAAGTAAATCTGCTGGCGGGTGTCGTTCTTGGTCCAGAAAGACACACCACGCAGAAGGAAAGGCCAGGAAATAGGTTGCGATGCGTAGGGGTGGGAGCTCGTCAAGGCGTTGTTGTGATGGAACATGGCGCGTTGAACCTCGACCCACTTCCTCAAGAAGCTCAAGTGCTTGACCTTCTTGGGCTCCTTCTTGTTGCGCTCGTCTTCGGCTGGGAGCGAAGGAATGTCATCGACATACCAAACGTTGCTTGATTGCTGAACGGCCTTGTTTCCGTTGATCTCGGCCTGTTTGTAGGCCCAGTCTGGCAAAGGCTTGCTGTGGGTCCACATGGCGACCTTGGTGGGTACGTGGATCAGTTTGAAGTGGGTAGACATGGTCTTAAAGTCACCTTTGCCCTTGTCGACCTTGATCTGGAAAAGCGTGTCATTGTAACGCGCGCCGGCGGCATCCTCTAGGCTCACAGTCGTGAATTCCTGGTTAGTGGGGTAGTAAGGTGATGCGACATCGTGGGTCAAGAGCATAGTGTTGGTAACCAAATGGCGAAGACGAACTACGTCGCCTACCTGGACGCGCTGACCGACCTCGGATGGAATAGGCGTCGAAGGAAGGACTTGCCAGTGGTTGTTGGTATCATTGTGGGGGTAGCCAGTTACTTGCTGTCCTTGAGAAGAGACACGTCCATCCTCGTATCGGAGTGGGTAGCGGTCTGGGTGGCTGTGAAGGTAGACCTTGGTCTCCTTGTGGCGGATGGTGATGGCATCGTAGTAATTGATGCTAACAGACTGAAGGCTCATGACATTGTCGCTCAAGGTTTCCTGGAACTCTGGAGTCATAAAATCGTCACCAGGTCCAGAACGAGTAAGAATGGCGAAATGAACCTGGAACCAGAAGAGGTAGAGGAAGAAGGGCACGATAAGCAGGCCGACAAGACGAGCAACAAAGTGCTTGCCAAACTCGACTAGAGTCAATGCGCCCTGTCGTCGGTTGACGTCCATCAAGTCCCAAAGATCAATCAAGACAGGGACACCAATCGAGAAGAAAGTGAAGACACCAACATATTTGATGGAGATGACGCAGCTCAGGTTGATACCAGTCAACAGGAGCCACTTCCACCATTTCTGACCAAAAGGCGCATGTCTTTCCTTGTAAAAGCGAATGTAGGATAGCACAGAGAGCGCCATGAAGAAGATGAGGGAGGCGTCGAGGAGGATCAGGCGCGTCTGGCCAATGTGGGCGTTATCGAGGAGCATGAGTCCAGCAGCGGTAATGCAAGCAGGCAGCGAGTATCCGGACTCCCACATGATTATGAAGACAATGGGAACAGTAAGGGCGCCGAGCGAGGCAGGCATGGCACGGTATGCGACATAGGGAACCTTGTTGGTGATGTACGAGTCACCAATATTCTCGAAGAGAAACTCGCCCTTGTATCCAACGACCCATCCAGCAAAAGCAAAGAGGAGCTTTCCGAGCGGTGGGTGGACATCGAAGAAGTAGGTACGTTGCAGGTAGTAAGAAGCGAACTGCGGATGCGATTAGCCCTGTGGTCCGAGTACCCGTCGCACCCCATTGCGTGTGGGAGACACATGTGGCAGCTTCTGGACACGGAGACATACCTTTCCAAAATGGACCTCATCAAAGACAACCTGGTCGGGATGTCTGATGCCCCAAAAGCGAGTGATGAAGGCGAGGACGGTCATGATGGTGATGGCAAGCCTGTAGTCCCATTCGCTGCCCTGTTGCGCGGGCTTGTACGGCTTGCCCTTTGCGACGACATTGGCGACCTTCTCGGCCTTCTCAGACAAGGCTTCTGGGTTAGGTGAGACAGGTCGCTTCTTGTCTTTGCCTGCTCGCTGGCGGATGCTCCCAGCAGGTGAGGAGGACATGTTGGGCTGAGGCTCTTTAAAGCTACCTGTTGAATTGCACGTTAACGCGTGAGGTTGAGGGATTTGAGCATGCGATGGCATCATCTTACCTCCCGCACGAAAGAGAAATGGTTGATGGAATTGGAAAGAGAGTCGGGGGCTGCTCTGCAAGAGACAGGACACCTAACTACGAGTTCAGGGTCTGAGAGGACCAGTCCGCAATGGGCGTCTCGCTTACGATCTCCCCCTGCATTGACCACTATTGGCCAGCCCGCCATCGTAAACCCTATTTGGGCGAGGGGCAGAGAGGGGGCGCCGAAGGTCTGGTCGAGCCACTCGAGTATCTATTCTTGGCATCATCACGACGCGGACCGGCGCGCCCGGTGTTACTTCGTTTAATATATTACCACAAATGCTATCTCACGCCCTCGTCTGCCCTGCACGCACATGTCTACCTTGCCACCCTTGCTCTGCGTAAATAAGCACTCGTCCACTGCCCCTTCCGTGCATCAATTGCCCTTCTTCTGCTTCTCGGCTTCACGCTTCCTCTGCTGTGGTATGCGGTACGTGGTCTCCCACCCGTACAGCGCTCCAGCTCCAAAGACCATCGCGGCGCCCACCTTCATTAGCCCGCTCATGTGGTTTCCGAATAGCCAGATGCTCAGCAAGAAACTCACCAGCTTCCTAATGTTGAGCACAATCGTGACAGTGACAGCAGATGTGTTTGCACTAAGCATGTTGACGCCAGTGATGCACAGTAACTGTGTGAGTGCGTTGGCGGTAAGGTATATGATGTGCTGGGATGTTGATGCGAGAATCGTGCTAACCAGCGGCGGGAGAGAGGCGGCCATCTTGGGCGACACCTGGAATGATTGCGATGACTGCAGACGGTTGAACTGCTGCGTTAAAGTCGGGGCGAATCCGGCAAAAAATGGAATAGACAGCAAGTGTGAGTAAAAGAGGTTGGCCTGCCAGTCTTTTCCGTGATCTCTGTAGATGTCTTCAACGTAAGCTCCCATCCACGCTGAAAGCAGCTGTGCGATGAGTAGGATCAAAAGACCAGCCTGTAGCGATGAGCTTGACATGCTGCTGCTTGACGTCTCCATATTCCTGCCCTGTCAACTGTTAGTGTTTGCGAATCCAAGCAACAAAACCCACTACCGTACCTTTGACTGAGCATCCGCCCACGCAGAAACCATGACACCAAACGTCAAGACTGCAACCGAGAAAACCTGCAAAGGTGTGTACTTCTTGCCACGCATCCAACCAGCTATCATTGTAGTGACACTGCCAAAGCTCCTGAGAATGATGTGGACCGGAACCGAGATATTGAAAGCAAATGCCCAGTTGTTCAACATGTTGACTGTGAAGAACAAAGCTGCGCTCACGCACCACTTCCGGAATGGTACTGGTGAGCTCCTCATGTAGTAACGACCATTGGGATCGAATTGGTAGTGTAATGTCGAGAGACAAGTGAACACGAATTGAAACAGCGTGATTAGCAAACCGCTATTAGGCTCTTGTCTGTCTATACATTAGCACCTGCATTGTGCGCATTGGGTATGCTCTTGTTACTTTACGATTGTCTCTAGACAATATACCTTGAATTTGTCAGTATTGAACATGTAGAAGGCAATAAGAGGACTGGGGTCTTCTTCTCACATTTGCGCAACATCCTCCAAAGATGAGCGAGAAACTGCTAACAATTGGTGCGATGGCTGCCATGATGACCAGGTCCTGAGTCAGAAGCTATAATATGACTACCAAATCTAAGGACTGAAATGCAGGATTGACCAAGCCAGGATGCTAACAAGATTGGCGATGATTAGACACGTAACATGAGTGACTTGTAGCCGCCCGCGGGTTGATGCTTCTAGCCAGAACCCGCGAACGCAGCATGAGATGCTCACTCACAGAGACGAAGAATTTGTGATGCGTTATCTACAATCTTAACATGGCTTGCACTTTGCTGCAGTTGGTTGAACACGGGAGGGTGTCGCGAGACGCAACGTGTAAGTCCGGGATGAGATGAGCCTCACGGGCGCTAACGTGGGATTGACCGTCAGTCTTACCGAACTAAGCAAATTTCGAGAACATGGGCATCAGAGCCCTTTTGTGCCGAGGCCGAACTCAAAGATCATGGTTAATTTTGACTTTGCCTAACATGCAGTCAGATCTCGATTGTGGAGTTTGCCGCAACCTATACTTGGCACGATATTACCGCCGCCTCAGCAGCTGCTCACTACAACAAACCCTCACCAAACACCAGCAACAATAATCACTCATTACCATTTCTCTTGTCATTTCTCCGCACCACTCAGGGTCATTATCATGGTGTTGCAATCTACACTACTCAGCAGCTGCCTATTCGTTGACCACATTGCGTCGTCCATCATCCGCGTTCCCACGCCCTTTCGCCATAAATGCTCCTATTCTATCGTCCTTAGCGCCACCAGGCAGATCACTGCCAACCGAAAGGAAGATCAGAGGGTAAGGATGGCCAAGCACCCAACAAGTGTACATTCCCGCTCATAGAAATTCTTTGGCGATGCTCGTGAACGAAGGATGCCATTACAATGCCGAGAAGACGAAAAGCTGTGCCATATTAGTTTGTACTCTTGATGCCCAGAAATATGCGCCCAACTCACATTGTTTGTTGCTGCTATAGCAATGCTATCCTCGAACGGATGCCAGCTCATGTGCAGAATCTTCTTGTTGAAGTCGATCTGGTCCGCATCGGTTTCCTTCCTCATGCGTTGACCTTGCCCAATAGCACCAGCAGCAGGGCTACCAGCTCTTGATCCACCCTTCTTACCGGTGTTGCTACCAGTCGGGCTGCCCGACGAGTTCATCGGCGTTGGGATTCCAACCTTCTTTGCTTTGAACGCAGACTTGTCAGCTTGTAGCACAACCTCGGTATCCTTGTCGTTATCTGAAGGATATATCATGAAGTTGTTGTTGTAGCTGCCAGTCATGACATTCTTTGCGTCTCCAGAGAAAACAACCTCGAACTTGTCAAAAATACTGTCGTTTTCATATGTGTCGCATAGCCTAGGTCGCAGGTGTTCGTGAATAGGGATCGTCTTGACTGGTGTCTTCTCCATGTTCACATCCCAGATCTTGACGGTCAGGTAGTCGCGAGACAGGATGTATCGTCCGTCGTGTGAGAACCGTACGTCAGAGATGGACGAAATGATTTCGGAGAAGAATGACCTTGATGAAGGGTCTTCTTCTTGTTCAAACTCTACAATCTATGCATTAGGACATGGCTTTTGTGTAGGGGGTCATGGCTGACTTACGCTTCGCATGCTGGTCACAGAGAGCACTTTCACGCATGTCGGCGAGCTTGATCGTTCCCTTGGAGCTCGCATACATGAACCAGTTGCAACTGATAGGATGAAACTCGGCAGCTGTGATGACCTCTGTAAGCTCCTCCATGTTCGCTGGCTTGATGTCGACAATGTTGAAGCTCTGGTCCTGGATGTTGAGGTTCCAGAGGTTAATCCGCAGATCGTCGCTACTAATGAACGTCTCTCCGTCACTGTTCACAGATATGCTGTTGATGTGGTATGCATGCGCATTGGCATACGTCTTCCGGGGTACTGCTGCGACTACTGTATCGTGATGTGTAAGTCGGGGGAGCTTCAGGTCCGTGGCACTGCGGAACTGTGCATTTGGGTTCCTGACGGGACCGCCGCCACCAGCAACCCCACCTCCAGGCGTCAACTCGTGTGACAGGTTGTTCTCTGCCACTACCTTCAGCGACTTCTCAAACACCTTCCATAACTTGATAGTCTTGTCGTTTGTGGAAAGCAAGTAGTGTGAGGCGTTTTGTCGGCGGCACCATTTGATCTTGTTGATCTTTTCCTCGATCTCGAGAGATTTTAGGTAGTCGAACTCGGGCTCGTGCGATTGGAACTCGGTGTGGAATTTGTATTCGCAGGTTTTTTTCTGCTGCTTGTTAGGTGCTGTCGTGGCAAGGAAACTAGTAAAGATGTCCTACCGTCTCGTTCCTCTCGAACAAGACCACACGACCACCCTTGTCACCGGTTGCAAGGTAGTTACCCGTCTGGTCAAACTCGACGGTGGAGATGATGTCAGCTGCACTCGCAGTTAGTCATCGCAGACAGGGATTGAGAGGGCAGACAGAGGACTGAAAGCTGTACATAAGGTTAAATGCTAAGAAAAAGGTACGTACCTTCGGTTATATCCTCAACATCGCCTTTGTCGCCAAAGCACCTGTTGCAGTCAGTGGCGGTTGCAGAGCGCTTTGGCCGACCTCGCAAAAATGGCAGGAAGTGAGCCGATACAGCTCAGCTACCCCGCTGACACAGGGTATGGCACGTACTGGGTGAATTTCCACGTCGTGGGGTTTCCTTCTGCTTCTACCATGATTCTTGACAAGGGTCGCCGAACGCCAGCGGAGTGCGATCAGGTGCAGCGAGCGCGGTGATGTGTTGGGTGCAAAGGGACTCTCGCCGAGCAATTACGTCGGCCGTGGAGCTTGCGAGGGGGCTAGGGACGAGACAGCGCTGCCGACGTCGATGGTGGAGGGTGGGTGGTGGATGATGTAGTGAGGGCGGTGTCTGTTGGGGGGGTATGTGTGTGTGTGGGCAATGGCGGGGGGGCTAGCGCGTGGAAGGCGTGTGTTTGGGGCGTGCGGGAGACTCGACTCGACGAGGGCAGCGGAATGACGGCGGCGGGCGACAACGCAAGCAGCAACAGCGCAGGTACGGAGACAGAGCGTGTTAGGTGATACCTCGATTCATTCTTAGTGGGGGGCTGTCCAACCTCCAAACCGCCAAGCCCTCCGGGCCACGGAAACCACGCCTTGCCGCTTGCAGCTAGCGCCGTCCACTCGCTCCGCCCACAACAATATTCGTCGGCCTCGCTCAATTGAACTTCTTCGACAACTTCGACCCTACTAACCGCAGCACATCGAACTCGCCATGTCCCACAGGAAGTTCGAAGCCCCCCGCCACGGGTCTCTGGCTTTCTTGCCGCGAAAGCGCGCCTCCCGTCACCGCGGTAAGGTCAAGAGGTAATTATTGTCGCTGTCGCCAAAAGTTCGACATCCAGCTCACCATCGTGGCCAGCTTCCCCAAGGATGACCCGAAGAAGCCCGTCCACCTGACGGCTGCCATGGGCTACAAGGCTGGTATGACCACGATTGTCCGCGACCTGGACCGCCCGGGTGCCAAGCTGCACAAGAAGGAAATCGTCGAGGCCTGCACAGTTATCGAGACCCCTCCCGTACGCATACGCCTGTAGAATCAATTGGGAGTCAGGGCTAACATACGCACAGATGATTGCTGTCGGTCTTGTCGGTTACATCGAGACTCCCCGTGGTCTCCGCTCCCTCACCACTGTCTGGGCTGAGCACTTGAGCGACGAGGTCAAGCGTCGCTTCTACCGCAACTGGTACAAGAGCAAGAAGAAGGCCTTCACCAAGTACGCCAAGAAGCACTCCGAGAACAACGGCCAGTCCATCACCCGCGAGCTCGAGCGTATCAAGAAGTACTGCACTGTCGTCCGTGTCCTCGCCCACACCCAGATCTCCAAGACCCCACTTCAGCAGAAGAAGGCCCACCTTATGGAGATCCAGGTCAACGGTGGCAGCGTCGCCGACAAGGTCGAGTTCGGCCACGGTCTCTTCGAGAAGCCCATTGAGATCACCTCAGTCTTCGAGGACAACGAGATGATTGACGTTATTGCCGTCACCAAGGGTAAGGGATTCAACGGTGTCACCTCCCGTTGGGGCACCAAGAAGCTCCCGCGTAAGACACACAAGGGTCTCCGCAAGGTCGCCTGTATCGGTGCCTGGCACCCTGCCCACGTCCAGTGGACTGTTGCCCGTGCTGGTCAGGACGGATACCACCACCGTACCTCTGTCAACCACAAGATCTACCGTATTGGCAAGGGCGATGACGAGGGTAACGCCTCCACCGACTTTGACGTCTCCAAGAAGCGCATCACTCCGTAAGTCACAGCCCTTTGCAATGAGTGAATGGATTACAGCTAACATGTTCTAGTATGGGTGGTTTCGTCCGCTACGGTGAGGTCAAGAACGACTATGTTCTCCTCAAGGGTGCCTGCCCCGGTGTTAAGAAGCGCGTCATGACCCTGCGCAAGTCCATGTTCACCCACACCAGCAGGAGAGCGCTCGAGAAGGTCGAGCTCAAATGGATCGACACCTCTTCCAAGTTCGGTCACGGTGCTTACCAGACACCGGCGGAGAAGAGGCAATACGAGGGTGTTCTCAAGAAGGACCTCCAAGCTTCGTCTTAAGAGGCTTGAGGTTGTGGTTGTGGTACGGAGTGCATGCATTTCTTCTCATGGGCTTTGGCGCACGGGATAGGTCTATAACATGGATGCCAGTCATGAGCGATTGAACAAAAATTCAACGATTCCCCAATTCATGAATATATGCTTTTAAATCTTGAGTGACATGTATGTTTTTGTTGAGTGTTGATTAGAATGGGTTTTGGGCCATATGCTCATTGTGTAGTCGAGGTATCATTTTGCCGAAGCGTTCAGGCTGTTGGTGGCTAGACCCAGTGGCCAAACCAGTGTCAACCTGTAAGATGTGCGGCTTATGTAGTGATGAGATTTTCTAGCAAAGAAAGTATAGTAGGGCCTAGGAATGGGTAGATCTCTGTTACATATGTTCACAAGGTTGCAGCTATGGAGTATCTATACCAAGATCTTATCACGTGGTCTGCAGATTGAGCAAAAAATAAAGCTGCAAAAACATACGACAGTGGGGATTCACTAGTGGTCACCCACCTAACTACTAATCCGCCAGTAAACTGCTTGTATAGGGCAGATCGGACGGGATGCCTAGCCTTCATGCGACTGTCACAAAGTCCCTTAATTTTTCTGTATGCAGTAAGCCTCTTTTCTGTATGCAGTAAGCCTCTTTTCTGTATGCAGTAATCCCCTTATCTGTATGTGGACTATTAGCACACATTCTGGTGTTGGTGGCTTGCTCTGCCCAGATACGCCTCTGGGAGCGCGCTAGCTGGGTAGCGAAGTGATATGGTGTATGTATATGTGTGTGTATATAAGAAAACCGAAAATTCTGTTGTTTTTGTTGTGGAGGTGAGATAGTAAGCGACACTGTTAATAGTTATACTGTAAGGTAAATAAACGGATTGATATTACGTGACTACGGAAAATCCTACCTCCGTACCGAAACGGACCCTGACTATAGCCTGACAATATAATGGGCCAGTAGTAAATAAACGGAACGGGAGACAATTTGTGACAGCTTAGGACAAGCGATTAATAGAGGGGGGGTAGTGTAGCGGCTCTGTAAATTACGCTACTAATATCTGAGTAAGATCCGAACCAGGGCATGATCGAGCCTAGCGGAAAAACTGCTGATATAGATACTTAACCTCTCCTATAGTTATTTAGTAGATTTTTGAGATCCTTTCGTATAAGGCCTATAGGTGTTTAATTGGATTCTTGGCTTATTTGTGTCCCACGCACTCCTATATGCCTCTGAGTGACCTTATCGCCGAAACGTATCCGATAGTCCTTGCCTGCGCCGTTATAATACGAGCGAAAGTAACAAGGATCTATTACACCACGTTAGTTATAAAAAAAAACTTCGTTTAGAACGCAAGAAAGTTGATAGATAGAATTTAAAGTGAGCTTCCTAAAAACATGATTGGCGAGCGAATAAATAGCGTTGTAGTAAACGGTAGTTCGAGGGTATAGAGCTACCACTGTCAGTTTCGCTCATATGTGCCAACAGACGCCATCCAAATCTAAACATCAACCACCATCACCTGCTACTAATGAACTTTCATCTCAAGTCTATCAAGAGCTATTAGGACACGCTCTTTACAGGTTTATTCATGTTCAAACTCGCGAAGTCGCTCTTTCGAAGGCAACCATAGCCCCAACTCAAATCTCCAACATATAGTTTCAAAGTTGTTAGCGACGCGGTATTGTTTAAGGAAGAACAGCTTAAGGGGCTCCACAGGGGCGTCTACTATCCTGTCAACATAGGGGATATTTTCGCGTCAAATTACCAAGTAGTAGGCAAACTTAGTTTCGGTGTTACGTTAACTGTTTAGCTGGCTCGTAATCTACAGCAAGTTAGCGTTCGGCAATTATGCTATCTATACTAACAGCAAACCAGTCATCATATCTACACAACCTTGAAAGTTTTCACGAGAGAGGGAGTGGACGAGGATGAGTACAACATGTATAATATCTTAAGTAAGGGCAATGCTTCGCATCTAGGATACAATCACGTCGAAACAGCTCTCGACTTATTTACCATTTCCCGAAAAGGTAGCGATCATCAATTTCTTATTCAGAAACCAATGTGGGATAGGATTAAGGATTTCTTGAATAGAAACCCTGCGCACTGCTTCACGGACGAGCTGCTGAAAGCTGGATTGTTGTAAGTGTTCCTCGCACTCGATTACCTTCACACAGAAACTAAGATTATACATATAGGTGCGGCCTAACAAAAATCTTCCCGTAATTCTGTTAACAAGAATATAGACATAAAAGCCGATAACATCCTTATAGAAATCGAGGATCAGGACATCTTGAAAGCCTTTGTTGACGCCGAGATGACATCTCCCTCGCCTCGAAAAGTCGTAGACGGCATGCTAGTCTACGTGACACGCCAGTCTGGATTGCTGAAAGAGTATGGTTGTGTTTTCCCTGGAGACTTCGGCTCTGCAGTCCGTGGCGATAAACTTCAGATCCATGGCGCGCAATCAGATGTCTATCGATGTCTATAGGTTATGCTGAAGATCGAACGGGGTTATCCAGCTTATATCTAGAACGTTGGAGCGATGGCATGTACCGTCTCAAGCTTGAGGCAAAATCAGGCATTTACCGAGGTGCACAGATTTGGGACCTATATGAGGATAAACACCTCTTTTATGGCATCGATCTAACTGAGAAGCAATACCTGACCAGAGCTCATCTTGCGGAATTAGTCGCGATGCTCGGTCCGCCGCCGATGGATATGTTAGAAAGAGGAACGCGGAGTAAAGAACTCTTCGATTGTGAAGGTGAGACTGCGCTCCCAAAGTACTATATGAAGCTAACCGAAGTTCCATTAGGTAATTGGATAGCTGAGATAAACATACCGGAAGGCTTGACGTTAGAGACGTTAGAAGAGAATCTCGATGGAGAGAAGAAAGAAGAATTCTTGCAGTTTATGAGGTGCATGTTGCAGTGGAAGCCTGAGGATCGGTGGACTGCGAGGGAGTTGCTTGGGTATCCTTGGTTGAGAGGGAACTTGTAAGTCAGTTTGAGCAAGTATCGAATGGCTCGAAGATGGATGGACGACGGAGGCTCACTCGGCGGAGCCTAGTTTATCTCAGCCGAAGATCAGGCCGCCATCAATGACTCCATTGACATGTTATCTGCTCAGATGAAGCAGGTTAGGATTGGAGAGCATAGCATCTGCCGCTGCTACTCTTGCCTTTTCTCTTTCTAACACATACCTAAAGCTAATAGTGCTTCTATAAAGGGTAACGCGGTCTGTCTGATACTCGGGAGGAAGCTAAAGGATTGGCCTGGTTCGATTATACAGCTATTGGTCCTTGACAAACATAGCCGGGGGAAGCTGTTAGTAGGGGACAGATAGACTAGTAGAGGAAAGTGATACGATAGCTAAGGTTCCTCTGTTAGTTTGGGAATGTGTACCGTCGTCGGAGAAAGAGGGAGTATAGGCAATACTGTCGATATGGAGCGTCTACAGCACGGCCCCCGACCCGGCGTCCCACAGCTTGACAGTCTTGTCATCCGATGCTGACGCCAGCGTCTTGCCGTCCGGCGAGAAGGCCACGGCGTTGATCAAGTGCGAATGGCCTTCGAGCGTCTGCAGTACCGCATTGCATTTTTCCTCGACATTTGGCAACACTCGCATCTATTTAGGTATGCATCCTTTGAAGTTCTCTCTCATTATTCTCGATGTTGGTACAAATATGAGCCCACTGCTGTAAGGGGAAGAGCAAATATGGTACGCCTTATAACAAAGATGAATCCCGTAGAACTACTGTCCTGATCCTACCCTATGCGAAGATATCCTCACACGATGACATCTCTTGACCAAGTGTATCCCCATTGATATCCCCCATCGACATACCCAGCCATCTGCAATGTATCGCCCTCGCAGATATATTGTACCTGTGTACTTGCTCCGTACTGCTGACTCAATGGAATATCTAGTTCAAGAGGTATGCCAAAAACGGTGGTCGTCGTTTTGATTGCTCCTGTTGACTGAATGTTCTCCCAGGAGAACATATCATCTCCACTCAGCTTTACCTTTCCGTCCAATGAGCCGGTGATATCCATCAGAGCGTGGAAGGCCAAGTCGTCAGCAGTGGCATCGTAAGAGATGTCGAGATGGTCAATAATCCATGAGCTAGCCAAGCTCGATGTTACGCTGAAGGTTGACGAGCCCGTCACGGCGAGATTCGTGATCGTTACTGGGGCTTGTGCGGCAACCGATGCGGGGATCTTCTGCGCTAGGAAACTTTGCATGCTGGGTACGTCGAGATGCCAATTTCCAATGAGACATTGGTTCTCGCAGCTGCTCCCCTCTTGATCGTCCTCATATGGCTCGCTATCGTCTATGAAGATGGTCTGCCATTGTTCATTTGCGCCTTCTGCTGCGCCCTGTATATCTGGAACGACTGACGGGTCTGGGGTAGCTGGGGTAGTTGGGGTAACTGGGGTGATTGGGGTGACTTGATCGGCTGAGGTGGCTGTGGCGGCTGTGGCAACTGCAGTGACTGTGGTAACTGTAGTGGCTGTGGTAACTATAGTGAGCGTGGTGAATATGGTGGCTGTGGTGACTGGGGTAACTGAGGTCACTGAGCTGTTTTGGGCGATTCCTCCGCTCTGGATTCCAGCGAGGATAGCGTTCCCCACGTCGTCACGCTTATGCTTATGCTTCTTCGATACTTTCTTCACTGTGAACGTAATCGGCAAATTGAAAGCTTGGTTGAAATTGTCGTGTGATGTGGAAGTTGCAAGGAAGACGTACTCGCAAGTGCCTTGCTCGAGGAGAGTCTCTACTCCCTTCTTCGCAGTGCTCCAATTCTGCTCGCTCGCCTTGCGGTACTGTAGCACGGTCTGACTGTCCTGCGTGTCGAACCTGAAGGAAATCTTGCGGTTTTTTGGCAACGTCAACTCCAACTTCTCCAGAACGGCAAAGGAGCCCAATCTCGTATTCCTTGTGTAGACACCAGGCTTGGGAGGGATATTGTCGAGATATCTCGAGGTAGGTATCTTGGCGACGACCGTTTGCTTATTCTTGTACGTGATTTTCCCGTCCGCAAACTGTGCTGCGAAGCTTGGAAACGCATTGATAATGAAGTTGTCTCGAGATACGCTGGCCTCTAAGTCTTGCCATGAACTGAGATCTGGCTGGACGATGCCCCAATTGTGGATGTCCACATCGGAAACGGTACCAGACAAATGTTGGAAGAACACACTGGCGCCATAGGTGTTCCTCCAAAGCTGCGCTCTTGGATTATACGATGGCATATGTCCGCCGTTGGTTCCTGGAAAGAAGACATTGCCAAAGTACTCGGCCAATCCTTCGCTCCACCATTCCGATTCCGTGAACGGTTTGATTGGTTCAAATGTTCTTTGAACACAGTGGTACAATTCGTGGGCGAGTGTCTTTTGGATCGATCCATTGTCGAGAGGTAGCCTGTTCCCCACTCGGACGCTGCAGATGTCCGGATCCATTGATAAAAAATCTGTGATCCCACTGTATTCGAACTCTTCTGTAAGAAATGCATTGATAGTCTTCATCTTAGATTTCATGAGCGTTGCATAGAAAGGCAAGACGTCCTCGGCCGCCTTGACGAGTGGGGCAAGATACGAGCTGTCCCCAGCAGGAGTGTTCGGGGAGTCTAGAACGGTCCAGGTGTAGAGGTTAAAGCTGATACCGGCGATGTCTTTCTTTTCCACGTATGGTATACAAGTTCGCTCGGATCCATATAGCCTGTGTGAAGGACATGCCGTGACTGGACCACGAGGGGTGATGAGTGGTACAGCATGGCAAATCTGGCTGATGATAAAGAGAGAAAGAGAGATGGGAAGTGTCAAAAACATTGCGAAAAAGGTGGGACACAAAGGATAGGAGAAGAGCTTGATGTGGAGTTGGCCAATTGCTGACAATGCATCACGCTGCCACTTCTCTTTTATATACGCTACCTGAACACTCTCTGACCAAGACTTTGCGTTGTCCTAGTGGTGAGTACGGGCTATGCTTACAGTTCTACCCATCTCTATTCGCTTAAAAGTCTCTAATGCTTCCGCTAGACACAACTAAGAGCAGCCTACAAAAACAACCGTCTAGTGACGCATCATGCAAAAACCTTAAATCGAAGACTGAGCTCAGCTCCCAGGCATGGGCGTCGCGTGGCATACTCTCACGGGGCAGTGTGCTGCTACGAGTGGTTTAGACTAGATCACGCTAGCTGGGGCTGAGTGCTGCGCTACCATCGTGCACAAGCGTGAGGCGCTGATGCCTAGAACCGGTGTGGTAACGTGACCCACCAGTAAACTGCGCACAGCTATGGTCGGCGAAAGTGAGGTTTCCACGAAAACTGCTACGTCTCAACACAGCGCTGATAAGTAAAACTTCTGCTGGCAAGTTTGCCCTCGTAGCGAAGAAAATAAGACTCAGGCGCACATCCTCTATGGATAGTTCCTGAGCCGCGTCCACGTACAGTGGTAGGATCTTATCATATCTTTCGCCGATGAAGGCGGGGACTGAAGAATCTGGACGAGTTGCTAGGAATCCTGGGCCGCGCCGAGAAGAAGGTTGCCTCCAGCTGAGCTGCCACACAGGATAACTTTGGACGTATTAATAGACAGCTCTGGGTTGTCAATTACAGCAAGCGTTTGGGTGATGATATCCTCGTAGGCCGCGGGAAACTTGTTATGAGAGACTTTCCCATAATCTATGCTGGCGACGATACAGTTTGCCTGGTCAGGCAGACGCCGCGCCAGAACATGGTCAGGAAGGTTGTAAGCCCGATCCTGGCGGCAACTCATCCTTAAACCAGTGCGCTGCTATTGCAGCGAGTACTGTTAGACGCATACAGGAATGTTGAATGACTGTTAATGGTCATTTGGGACTATGTTGGTGGGAGCTGCGGACGGAGTCGCGATTCCTGAAACGAGTAACCGAGGACGAACCTCAGTTAATTGACCCCGACCCGGAACCGCGAGTTTTGACGGATGGCGAGGGAGAACTAATCCTCAGTTCCCTCTGGTCGTATGTACTAGAGTAGTAGAAGTGAGTGTAACATATTCGCGAAAACCCAAGTTTTGCGAACTTGTGAAAGATCAAGTAGAGCTCACGTGATTCTATCGATATCCTAGCTTGGCACTGCCACACCAACAGAGCATAACTGTTCTGCTTGCGCCCCTGTCCCTTTTGCCATCACTAGAGAAACTTCGTCGAAGAAAAAGATAGACAAGTATTTATGTTTGAATGTGCATAGAGCTTTACTGATCCAAAGGCGCAACTGTGAATTTCACTGCTCGCAATCTATACGGAGAGACTCGCAGTTATATATAACAGTAATGTTTGACCCTGCCAAGAGTAACAAAGAGCCCGAAATGCCCGTCATGGTGGCGGCTCTGCGTGAGTTTGAAAAGGCTGGGGGGATTTCCCTAATTTATGGTTAGGGCGGCCTTGTGATCAGTCGAGAACGTCTATGACGCCGACGAATTGAGCGTCATATCTTGAGCGGCAACGGCAATAGTTGTCGGGCTAGAAAATGGGTCATGGGCTGACCCGGTTAATGGCAGTGGACACTGTACACCTAGGCTTTGTTGCCAACATCAGTCCACGATTTGGCCTTGAGTAGAGAGCGTGGTGCATAGCAGGCTTGTAGATGTAGCCGAAATTGAACGTTCATCTCAACGTATGCCATTGCATGCGCGGGCACTCTCAATGCGCAATGCCGCATGCAAGATAGATTGGCAAGACAATTCAGTGCAGTCAAGTATTTTTATACATTGTATGTACTGTACACATGTAAAGACTCCAGGCGGAGAGGCAGACGTTCATCACGGCATCAAGAAGAAAAGTCGGGATGGCAGGTACTTGCGCGACAATGCAGCCGAGGCTTACCGATCCAATGAGCGCTGCCCGATTTTAGTTTGTATTGTAAGTAGAGGGTCGGTCGCAACTGCCATCATCGACCTCCAACATCAAACCCCCAGGACCTCTCGCCCCTCCGCCAGTCCTTCACTCTTCGGCTACCGCCAATATGAGTTGCCTCAGGATGCGTCGCACGCAGCTTGCGAGCCAGGTAAGTCTATTGCGAGCCTTCTCAATCACTCGTTGCCAGCCGACGAGTGGCATTCGCCGCACCGAGGCGTGTGCCCACATCCCACATGGCTCTGGCAGACAGTCGCATGGCGGGCTACCACCTCGGCACCCCCAGACGACGCCATTAGACGCCCTGCAAGCTCGCATTGTTCCTCAATTGCTCAATGGCTAATGTTCCCCGCAATAGCTCGCGAGGAGTTTCCGCCCAAGCACACGTGCTTTCTCCTCAACTCGACCCTTCCAACGTGTAATCGCTACCGAGAACCTGCGAGCAAAGGAGGCGTCAGGCTTCATCTCCAGCAAGTACCCCGTTATTGATCACCAATACGATGCCATTGTTGTTGGCGCTGGAGGAGCTGGTCTGCGAGCAGCTTTCGGTCTCGCTGAGGCGGGCTTCAACACGGCCTGTATTTCCAAGCTTTTCCCCACTCGATCGCACACGGTAGCTGCGCAGGGTGGTATCAATGCGGCACTTGGAAAGTACGTATAGTCAGCAGGCGAGAGGCGGGCTAAAGAGGCTGACGTATATATACAGCATGCACGAGGATGACTGGAGGTGGCACATGTACGATACTGTCAAAGGTTCAGATTGGCTTGGTGATCAGGACGCTATCCATTACATGACAAGAGAGGCCCCACAGTCTGTCATTGAGCTTGAGAACTACGGTTGCCCATTCTCTAGAACCGACGACGGCAAGATGTACGCTTCTCCGTAGCCCCAGTTTCCAGTAGCATGCTGACCTGGTGTAGTTACCAACGTGCCTTTGGCGGTCAATCGCAAAAGTACGGAAAGGGTGGACAGGCATACCGATGCTGTGCTGCTGCCGACAGAACTGGTCACGCTCTCCTGCACACCCTCTATGGACAATCTCTCCGCCACAACACCAAGTACTTCATTGAGTTCTTCGCTACCGATTTGATCATGGAAGATGGCGTCTGCAAGGGTGTCGTTGCCTACAACCAGGAAGACGGAACTATCCACCGTTTCATTGCTAAGAACACCGTATTGGCCACTGGTGGTTACGGACGTGCCTACTTCAGCTGCACATCGGCTCACACCTGTACCGGTGACGGTATGGCTATGGTTGCTCGCGCAGGTCTCCCCAACCAGGACATGGAGTTCGTCCAGTTCCACCCCACTGGTATCTACGGCGCTGGATGCTTGATCACTGAGGGTTCCCGTGGAGAGGGTGGTTATCTTCTCAACTCTGAGGGTGAACGATTCATGGAGCGTTATGCACCCACCGCCAAGGATCTTGCCTCCCGTGACGTTGTTTCCCGATCGATGACTCTAGAAATCCGTGAAGGCCGTGGTGTTGGTCCTGACAAGGACCACATCTATCTTCAGCTCAGCCACCTGCCTCCTGAGGTCCTCCACGAGCGTCTGCCCGGTATCTCCGAGACCGCTGCCATTTTCGCTGGTGTCGATGTTACCAAGCAGCCCATTCCCGTCCTTCCCACTGTTCACTACAACATGGGTGGTATCCCCACCAAGTACACTGGTGAGGTTCTCACTCAAGACGCCCAGGGTAACGACCAAGTCGTACCTGGTCTGTTCGCTTGTGGTGAAGCTGCATGCGTATCTGTTCACGGAGCCAACCGTCTCGGTGCCAACTCACTGCTCGATCTTGTTGTTTTTGGTCGTGCTGTTTCCCACACCATCCGCGACAACTTCAGCCCCGGTCAGACTGCTGATCCCGTGTCTGCCGATGCTGGTGCCGATTCCATCGCCGTCCTCGACAAGGTCCGTACCTCCGAGGGCACCAAGTCTACCGCCGAGGTCCGCCTACAGATGCAAAAGGTCATGCAGACTGATGTCGCCGTTTTCCGAACACAAGAGTCGCTCGACGAGGGTGTCAAGAAGATCCATGAGGTTGATGCCGACTTTGTCAACGTTGGTATCAAGGACCGGAGCATGATCTGGAACTCCGACCTTGTCGAAACTCTTGAGCTACGAAACTTGCTCACTTGCGCTGTTCAGACTGCTGAATCTGCCGCCAACCGCAAGGAGTCGAGAGGCGCCCACGCCCGCGAGGACTACCCTGACCGTGACGACGAGCAGTGGATGAAGCACACATTGTCATGGCAGAAGCAGCCACACGGCGAGACCAAACTTGGATACAGGGCAGTGACTGGTACCACGCTAGACGAGGCCGAGTGCAAGGCTGTGCCACCATTCAAGCGTACCTACTAGACTATAAAAGATAGCAAGTGGGGTTTTGTGGCAACAAGAGGAAGATATATGTTTTTGTATTTTATGTACATTTGCTGATGGATGGGGATTGGCTGTGCATGTTTTAGCATGTTTGAAAGTATCAAAGTAGTTGAGATGTGTCAAATAAAGTTTTAAGCCCAGGTTGTATTTGGAGGCTGTTTGGGGAAGTTGTGATTGTGATTGTGATTGTGGTAAAACACTTGGTAATTGGCGTATAACAAGATGAAGATCCGCTTGGACAAGGGAGTCGTATTTGTCGATGGTGGAATTTGTAAGCGCCCACGTAAGGGGTAGACGTGTACACAGGTACGCGCGTAACCAGGGCGGTTAACCACACGTCTTTCCCCATTTGGAACATAGCAAGTATTTGGCATTGTTTGTAGCATTACTATTTACGCGACATTCCAATTTCCACAGTTGTCGCCCCAAAGGAGAGAAATTAAAAAAAAAACTTATCAAGACCAACCGCTACTTAACTACCAAGACCAAGGCTTCTAAGTACCAAGACATCTCTCTTACAATGCACTAAGACCATAACAAGCAGCATTAACACAATACACATATTACGAATTCCCCACACACTCACCCCCTTAGCCCCCCTAGCCCCTCCGGTCCCTTCCCCTCTTTCTAAGCGTTTGAACTAGGGATTTTATCCCCACACGTCTAGATCTCGCCCACAATAGAAAGGGAAGCGCTTGGCTAAACTGTATGATTACAAATGTGACAGTGTATAAACGAGTGGTTTGAAACGGTATAGGTGTCGGTGACTCGGCTCGTTTTGGTCTTTGGGCTTGGTGTGAGCTATAAAGGATTATTGTACTGGGGATTTCATATAACTATACTCGATATAGAGTTTTATCTTTTTTTTCTTTCGGTATGATAATATGTACATTTCTTGGCTTAAACTCCCTTTCCCCGCCGCGGCATTCCGACTGGGTTGTGCTAAACGGCGGGCGGGGGCTTAGAAGGGGGGGGGGGATGGGATGGGAGATCATTTGTATCAGAGTGAAATAGCCACATATACACACACACACACATGTTCCGCGCAATGCTGCGCCCTTTTTATTTTTGGTAGATGGATGATTTGATTTTGGTTTTTGCATTTTCCCCCATGAACGCGCACCCCAGAGCAAGATAAGTTTCATACTGTTGTGGGGGGGGGGGGTATGGAGAAAGAAAAAGGAAGTATTGACAACGAAATTAAGATAGTGTGCCCATGTAATACTCCACGCTGATGCCAAAAGAAGAAGCAAAAGATTATATGTCTGAACGCTCGCGGGATTTTGGGTGATGGACAAGAAGGATAAGACAGAAGTGTGGCTGGGTTTATATATATTTCGCTGGCTGACTCTCTTTCTCTTTTTTGTAAGAAGAGACAAGAAAAAGAAATACATACACTAAAAAACAAAAAAGAGGGGACTTTTCGTCCTGAGAGTTTTTGGAGGGAGAGAGAGATGGGGTATTATATGCAAAACAAATCTCTAAAACTCTCTCTCATTTTTCTTGGTTAGGTGTGAATAGTAGTGAAGCCCACGCTAGGCTAAAGTTCTACCTCATCTTCTTAAAAACGGAGCTGGACATCGCGCGAGTGGAGCTCGAAGCGCTTATCGATGGGCGCGGCCTCTGCCATGCGGGCGGCGGCGCGAGCAGCAGGGCTGCCGTTGAGGCCGCTGTGGTCGGGGACAACATAGTTCTTGACAAGGCGCTGGGCAACGTTTCCGTTGACGCCATTGCTGAGGAGGAGGTTAGGGCTGCCGGCGAGGTTACCGGAGATGTCGTTCTTGCGGGCGGTAGCGAGAAGTTTGGCCTTGAGGGCGGCGGGGTTCTGGCCGAGGCCTGCAACGTCTTGGGTCATGAGGACGGCCATGACACCCGTGGTGTGGGGGCAGGCCATGGAGGTGCCGGAGAGGAAGTTGATGACGTTGTCGCCGGTGGACCAGGAGCTGAGGATTTGCTCGCCAGGGGCGTAGATGTCAACGCAGCGGCCGTTGTTGGAGAAGCTGGAGACTTGGTTGTTGATGTTGACGGAGCCGACAGTTACAACGTTAGAGTTGGCACCGCCGAGATGGGCGGGAGTGCTTCCGCAGGCGTCCTGGCCGTCGTTTCCAGCGGCAACGGAGACGTGGATGCCAGCCTCAGAGGCACCGGTAATGACCTCGTCGACGGAGTTGGCAAAGCCCTGGAGACCCCATGACATGCTCATAATGGAACCGATGAAGCCGGGCTCAGTCTTGCGCTTGTTGTGCCTGGCAATGACCCAATCCATACCCCTGATGGTGTCGGAAGAAGCACCGGATCCATCGTCTCCAAGAACCTTGACTTCGATGATGTTGGCACCCTGGGCAACACCAAACTTGGCGCCACCAGCAGTACCAGCAACGTGAGTGCCGTGACCGTCACCGTCGACAAAAGAACCGGTAGCGGTGAAACCCTGGACAGCACGACCAGTGAAGACAGCGTGGGAAGTTCGCACACCAGTGTCAATGACGTAGATATCGACACCAGCACCGAGAGTAGAGTCGTTGAAAGAGTAGGTAAAGTCCTGGCCTTGGGGAGAGCCTGAGGGGCCTTGGGCGCTAGAGATGCGCTCGAGGCCCCATGGGGAGCCTTGACGCTGCTCGACAAACGACTTGACCTCGGCCTTTTCCTCAACAACATTGATCTCTGCCATGGTCTTGAAGATGGCAGCATGCTCGTCACACATCTTGAGAACAACAACACGGGGGTTGACGCCTGGGCTCGACTCGAAGAGAATTGCATCGCCATTCTTGTTGAGCTCAAGGGCATCCATGTACCTTTCAATGGGCTCGGGCACAGTCTCGTTACGCCACCAAGTGACAATGTACTCCTTGACTTCTGTGGAGTGGTTGCTAGGGAGCGTTTGTTTGTTGATGAAGCCTGGGTTGGGGAAAGCAGCAACGAGTGAGGAGCTAGCCGCCAAAAGGCTAGCTGTAAGAGTAAAGAAGGACTTCATGATGAATTACAGAGTGGATCCTGTCCGGAAGGGAAAGAAGAAGTGGTTGAAGGGAGAGTAGGAATTGAAGAATTGTTGATGATGCAGACGAATGCAAGTGCACTGTGGCGGTGTTAGTGACAGCTCTACTGTAGACAAACAACCAAGCCAAACGCTAGAGCAAGAAAGAGAATGATCGCTGTGAAAGGGGAACAGAGGGTATTGTATAGAAGAAGCACACAATAGTAGAAGGCATTCAAGTGAGACGTTGTAGGCAGACAAGCCCCACTGAGGCCGAGTGGGTATGCGGTTGGACGGCAGTGGAGGGTATACGTACAGGGCAAGGCGTGTGTCAGGCAGCAAGTCTGAGGTGATTGACGTATCGGCCAAGACGTGCCAGCACGCGGAAAAGAAAGCAAGGGAGGGAGTGAATGAAGCAGTTGCCGAAGCAAGAGAGAGAGAGAGAGAGAGAGAGAGAGTCAACTCTTAATGAATGGAAGAGAGGGAGGGAGAAGAGAGAGCGTGAGCGTGGGTGGACACGAGCAGAGGGAGTCGGGGTGGAGGGCGCCATGGTTGATGTAGTCTTGTCGCGTCGCATCGTCCAGGCGCTGGTGGCCAAGGGCAGCATAGAAGCGGGAGGGTCTGAAACAGGGCGTGGAGCTTGGCTCCGAGTGACATTGGAGCCGGGCGAGCAGGAACAGAACAGCGCAACCTGAGCCGTCGAGGCTCCCGTTGGCCGTGGGCCTCTGAGCCTCTGAAACGGCGTGGGTCAGCCGCCGCACTACCCAAAGCAGACAGGGCCGGCCCATGTGCTGGCCCATCTCATCTCGCCTCTACACTGTAGGCGCGGGGCGTCTGAGCGCCGCATATTCATGCACACCATCTCAATGCCCTGAAGCCCGCCCATCTGGCATGACTTGCCCAGTCCAACTCGCTGCCGTGCGCCCTTCTATCTCTTTCCAGAGCCGGCCCTTTGAAGCCCGTCACCTCCACCCTGTCGACAGCATCGGACAGGCGCAAAACCAAACACCCACCCACGCCCGTGAACCGTTTCACGCCTACTTGACGACACCACCCACCCGCTCTCGTACCACCCGTTTCCATTCTGCCTTAGTCGCGCCCTCGGAGAATTGGCCTTGTGCGGACCCTGCTTACTACTGCCGTCTCTGGTACCCCAAACTAGCTCCCGACCGACTGCACAACCACGCCAATTGTCGTATGTATTGCAAGTAGAGTGTGTAGTGTACTATGTAAAGTACAACTCCCCCATGTCTATTTTTCCTCGCTGCCATTGCGCTCCCTGGTGCCCGCCTATCGCTCTTCCCCCTGCCCGTTTCGTACGCGACTCGTGCGACCCATAGACTGGTTTCGAGGCGCAAAATGGCATGCATGAGAAAACGATTCTCGGCCACCATCGCCAATCATCTCCCGCGCCCCTTTGCAGCCTCAGTCAGACCAGCAACCAGCAGCAACATGGACAACGCAACATCAATCTGTCGCATAAACGACATCTCCATCTCCAGCCATGCGTTCAACCGGACCTTCGCATAAAACGGAGAGCGGGGCCAAACACCCACTCTATCTGCGCCGGCCTGACCCCATTCGTCTACAAACCACATGCATACCCCAGTCCGCCAGTGCCTGCGCCTCACCTCCACCCAACGAGCGAGCGAGCGGCTTTGGGTGGAGACATCTCCCCCTTGGTCGCACCAACTCGTACGCCCTCCAATCTATCTGCGCCGCACTCGTGGCTAGTTCCGGGCGGCGCGTTTACCACCCCTTCCCACTCCAGTCTAGTCCTAGTCCCCTCGCCCCAGTTTCTGGCGGCGCATGAAACACAACGCCAAAAACCATGTGCCTTTGCCGGCTTTTATCTATTACCTATTAGCGAACGAAAAAAAAGCCCTCAATCAGAGTTCGCTCTAAGTAGTAGCTACTCCACAAAAAAATCACGTAAAACTATCGTTTTTTTTCTTCAACCCAAAGCTAATAGGTATAGTTGATCAGCATGGACCGCATTTTACATTTATTTGAAGTCTTTTCCGAGAGCGAACTTGGTAGCTGGTTCTTTCCCCAAGCGAGAACACACAACAAACTCCAGGGGCTCCTTCCCCAATCCGTATACACACCACGCCTAGCGGCGCCCAGAACTAGTTCATTCTTGACCCCATCTATTCCGTTACAAACACTCAATATATTCCATGTTCTTTTCCTTCTTCTAGATTGCCCATTTTTGTCCGAACGCGCGGCAACTACTATATCCCAGTCATTTGTTCCTCTTCATGACTTCTTTCTCCCCCCTGCTCTTCATCAAGCAGAGAAGAACCCACATCTTCTTTCCCCTGTTCTGCCCCCAAGCACAGAACCCATAGGCTTCCTGCTCCCCCCCCCCCCCACCCTGCTCTTTCTCTGAACGAGACAAACATGTTAAAAACCGGGCTCATCTCCCCCATCCTTATCCCAAAACACCAACATTTGCTTTTTTTTATAAAAAAAAACTCTCCGAGCCTTCGCCCTTTGTAAGAGAAATCAGACAAATGAGATAACCACGGTTCGATTCACCTCGGAACTTCCCCCCCCCCCCTCTTCCTCCCTTCGTATCCCCAAACATGTAAACTGGGAATATATAAATTGCTGAGTCTACGCCCTCTCATATGAAACCGGCGCGTACCAGTCGTTCTAGACTATTCACCCACTTGTGAACATGAGAATAACATAAAGGTGTATGTATGCATGTATGTGTATATTTTTTTGGGGGGGAGGTGGATAATACAGCTCGTAGCGTACAAGTGTTGTACATAAAGGTGAGGTGAAACCTAGAGTTTTTTTTCCTTCCTGTCAGCTACCGCCGACCGGGGCCCGTCTTACGTTGCATGGGAATTTGCTTTAGTTCCAGAAGTGATGTTATTCTTTTTTTTCTCTTCATATGTTTTGTTGCTTGTAGATGTTCTTAATCCATGGGTCCAAGCAAGCAAGGGTGCAAAAAAAAAATCTAGAAAGGCGCGCGTGCGTGTGTCGTTTGGAGTAATACTCATACAATACATAGTACACATTGTATCTACCCAACCCGTTTGCCTTTGCTTTCCGCTTCTAACAACGTCATGACATTTGTCTGATGATGCTGAGTGCAAAAACCCAGACTCCAATCCCCTACTATTCCTCTTGCATCCCTACTCTTCCTGTTTCCCGTCCATGCCATGCCAACCCCCCATCCTTACTCTGATGTAAAAAAAGAAAACAAAGAGAGCATAGCAATACCCTTACCACTTACAAAACCCCATGCCAACCCCCCCCCCCCTACACTTCATCATCACTATCATCATCCCCCAGTAACTCCCCCTCATCCGCATCCACAACCGCGTAATCCCCTCTTCCACGAGCAAAACTGCTTCGAGAAGTATACGTTCGGCCATAGCCCCCATATCCGCCACGTCCACCGCCCATACGCCCAGCAGTCCACCTCCACACACTACCCACTAGCAACGGCAGTGCAGCAATAACGGCCACGAGTCCCGACACCGCTGCAACGGGCCACTTAACCCACGGTGCATCGCTATCAAAGACGCCACTACCGCCACCCTCGCCGAGCCGGATGCGACCAAACTTGCCGTCCCAGTTGCGCCAGACATAGTATCCGATTCCGCCGGCGGCTGCAAACGGCAGTACGATAGCGAGGAAGAGAGAAAAGCCTCCGATGCCGTGTTTCTTCTGGAAATCTTCTTCGAAGCCAGGGCATGGATGCACGTCACCTGTCTTGTCGAATTCGTTTCCACCCTCGCAGGTAGACAGGGGAATCTTGCGGAAGCGGCTGTTGGACCAGTATTCTTTGACGCCCTTGTTTTTGCACACGGCTGAGGCATCAGGGAGTTCGAGGCCGGGCACGAGTACGCAGTCGCCGCTGGCGTCGCGTTCGTAGTTGTATGCACTGTGGGTATGATATCAGTGTCTGTCTTGAAACATTGTCTACGCTGGAAACATTGCCATCAAAACTTACCATTCGTAATCACGCCTTGTGCAAGAGCAGTTGCGTGCAATGTCGTGCATTTGATCAATGCGCTGTGCGTTCCGGCACTTGACACCCCGTTTCTTGCGGTGGTACTGGGCCACGTGCCCAAACAGACATTCGGGCTCGTCTTGCTGCAGGGGATGCTGGGGACTCCAAAGGTCGTAGTCGCCGCGAGTAGGATCATGCTCGTCGAGTTTGCATTCCTTGCTGAATTCTGGGAGGCCGGAGAAGTCGAGATTCACGGCAACAAGCTCCTTGCTGTCTTTGCCCCAGAGAAGGAAGTTGAGCGACGTATCGCTGGGCACTGTCGTGATAGCGTCGACCCGAATCTTATGGTCGGAGAACTTGTACAGGTTCCATTCTACACCGCCGTCAAGCGAGTAGTATACGTGGTCCGTATCTTCACCTCGGCGGACAATGACAATGACGGATCCTTGGTCGCCAAACTCCCACGCGTAGGTGCCCTTCTTGATTTCCTTCCACGTGATACCCGCGTCGGTAGTCATAAAGGTGTTGGCCTCGCCGAATGTCGTCAGCTCGGGTCCGACATTGCCGACAGCAAGCATTAGTCCGACAGCCGTGGGAGATGAATACATCTCACGAGGATCAGCGCGCTCCGTGTATCCGTGGATATGCAGACCACATTTGTCCTTGTTCGACACATCGCACTTGTACGGCTTGCCGTCAGAGTCCTTCTCAGGCGCTTGCAGAGCCTCCCAGTCGGCACCATCGTTGTGAGTGATACGACTCTGCTTCTTCTTTTTGCTGCCCTTGTCAACCTCTGCAATATTGATAACCACATTGGCAACAGCAACACCCTCAAGACCCTGCATCTTCTCAAAGTCGACATAGCCATCAGTGTTCCTGTTGACACCGCTCAAGCTCATGACGTAGGAAGTGCCATTGCTGTTACTCTTGATGATTGAACCATACTCCTGGTCTCGTGTTGGGTTCACCGTCACATGCAAAAAGACTGCATGTGTAGAGCTGTCCAGCACAGTGTATGCAGTCTGGTGCACGTCAAAGAACTTTGGAGGGAATTTGGCCTCGGCAAACGTGTTGGCGTCCAGGCTGGCATCCAGGCGGAGACTGTTATCCTTGGCTTTGGTCGCAACCATGATGAACTCGGACATGGTTGCGAATTCCACAACCGACTTGAACTTGACATCCTTCTTCTTGAACCAGTCGTCACTCGAGATGAGCTCCAGCGGGGCATTCGTTTCCTCGTTGGTGTGTTGTTCGCAAAATACTTGCTCTTCCTTGACACTGCGCCCAGTCTCGCGCCAGACAAACATGCACTTCTTAACGTATGGCACAAGAGACTCCCAGCTGTCATCCTCGCCGTTCTTCTGCGAAACGTAGGCTACAGTGTGGCACTCTTTGTCTCCCGACTTTTCGCAGTTCTTGCCACCCATCCATATGATCCAACCCTTTTGCTTGGGATGGAACTGCATGATCTGCAGCATTTCTTTGTTGGGTACAGCGGGCGCGTTGAACGAGTGGATGCTGTCATGGAGACCGCGATCCTCGGAGTAGTAAACTTTTTTTCCTGCAGTCAAGAAATAGACATTGTTGTTCTCGTACTGATGAGGGTAGATTCTAACAATTTCATCATCGATAGCCTTCTTCCACTTCTTTCCGTGGTCGTGCGATATGTAGGCCGTACGTTCGTCGGTAAGCATGACAACTGTCTCATCTTTGCTTCGTTCGTTGCCAGTGTCTTCACCTTGGGTGTTGCGCTCGAGGTAGTACTGTTCTACGAACTCGCCACCCTTGAACTTGGTGATTTCATGGGTAATCTCTTTGCTCTGCGGCGGCCGCTTCTCCGAGTCTTTGCATTCGCGCTCGACCTGCTTGTCTCTATCCGTTTCGCCTTTGCATTGGTTGCCGGGAATCTTTCGCCAGCCAGAACTACCTTTGTATGTCTTGGCATCTCCTTCGCAAGCTCCCTTTGGTAGGCTGAACGAATCATCAGGCTCGCACTTCTTGTCTTTGCCTTCACCAACAGGGGCAAAGCCAAAGTCACATTCATAGTCCCGGAATTGGTCGCAGTCGCAAGGCTTGAAGGTGGGAACCGGGTCTTTGAAGACTTCGCCAACAGAGCACTCAGCATCCCACTTTCGCCTTCGGAACAGCTGCTTATGGCCCATGACACAGCTTGCAGCGCCATCTGCGTCTTTTCGCACAGACCATTCGGCATCAAAGTCGCCATCTCCACACTTCTTCAGCATGTCGGTGAAGTCAAGGTGAATGATGACGTGCTCGCGGCCGCCACCATCCTTCTTCTTGGATCCGTACAGCATGAACTTCAAACTTGTCGAATCGGGCAGGGTCGTCAGTTCGCGTGCGCGGATCTTGTAGTCAAGCTTGATCTTCTTCCAGGTATCCTTTCGTCCATGTTTGAACGAGTATCTGATCTCATCGGTGTCACCTTCGTCAAAAACTGCCACGAGGACGGATCCCTGGTCACCGAATTCGTATTTGTGTGCTTCCTCGAGCGCAAGTTCCCACGTGAGACCTGCATCGTCGGAAACATATAGGTCGCCATCGGTGTACTTGCCAAGGAACTCTCCGGTGTTTCCAACACCCATGACAATTCCTGGCGCTGGGCTCGAAAAAACGCGGCCGCTGTTGTGCAGATTGGTGACGGAATGCAGATGGAGTTCTTCGTTTTTGCCCTTGACTGTGAGCTTTTCAAAAGTTCTGCCGTCGTCAAAACTGATGCGCGACTTTAGCTTCTTGGTTTGGCCCGACTTTTCAACCTCTTTGTAGTTGTCAACCGTATTCACAAGAACCACACCCTGGATATTTGCAATCTTCTCAAAATCAACAAATCCGTTCTCGTTGCGATTGGTGTGTTCGACATTCTTGGTAAAGTATGTTCCGTTGGAGTTGCTGGTGTACAAATTGCCCATGGTCACATACTTGGATGTCATGACATCAACTTGTATGCTGTAGTTTGTGGACTCAAGAATTGTGTACGCATCTTCTTCAATCTTGTGGTCGCCGAATTGGGCGTGGTGCCAGGAGTCGGTGTCCTGGGTTACGTAGAGGGCGAGTTCGCTCGAATGTTCGGCTTTGGCAGCGGCGACGATGTAGCCCTTAGCCACGGCCATGTTGGCCATGCCCTGTACAGTACGCCCTGACGACATGGTGGGCTCTTCCATATGCTCGAAGAAGCTGTGCTCTGTTAGCTCCTGCTCTCATATTTGATTTGTTACCACCTACTCGTCTGACACGAGAAGTCTAAAGTCTTTGGATCTGTCCGAGTATTTTCCTCTTGTGATACACAGTATACGGTCATCGTGCTTGTCGACGCCTTCGAGAAATCTCTCCGAGGATTTGGCCCACTGGCACATTCGGCGATCCTTGATAAGGCCCTTGGGCTCAGTCTTGAAGCCATCGGTGGTGTAGTATGTCTGTCGCAGGTTAGCAATGCGACTCGTGGTAGTCTCAGAAGATGCATACCCTTCCAAGACACGGCGCCGTAAAGCAGTTCTCAATCTCGTTGATGAGTATCTTCTTGTTGTCCTGCGCGTGCCAGCCCACTGGACCTGCTGGCGAAGGCGCAAGCTCCGTCTCGAAGCTTTTCCATGTTTCTCCTTGGTCAAATGTAATCCAGTGCTTCTTCTCGCTCAGTACCAGCGCCACCTTGTTGTCGAATGGATTCTTGATGATGCCTAATCCCTGGATATCCTTTAATTGTTCCCAGCCCTTGCCAGCATCCTGCGAGCGGTATATCTTGCCCGTGTCGAGTTCTTGTACCAAGGCGACTCCAGAATCGTCAAAGTACATGAGGTTGACGAGCTCATTTTTGAAGGGCTTCGTCACGACGAGCGGGTTGTCCTTTGCGGTGGCGGGCGAGGGTGCTAGTGCCAGCAGGGCGGGCAGCAAAAGGCCCTTAATGTATTTCATGGTGCATAGAGGCGACGGCAAAACGCGTGTGTTGATGGGGGAGAGAAGGCGCGAATGTTGGAGAACAACTGGCGAGTCGACAATTCACAGCCTCAAGCACCGGCCCCAATGACGCTGACGGACCTGAAACACACGTCGATGCGCCGCGATGGCGAAGGCCTCCTAACCCAATGAAGACACAGAGTCAAGAATCCAAACCCAAGGAGCGGCGTAGGAGGCAACAGAGGCAGTGTGCAGCAATACAATGGCAAGATTAGCAATGCGATGCCAGATGGCGCCAACAATGCAGTGCAGTGCAGTAGGCTCAACTGGACAGATAGAGCTTGAGGGGCCAGTCGCGTATAGGCGGACGTCCGCGGCTGCTGTCCCGCATTCTGCATCCCTGCTAGGACCGTCGCCGGTTCCGCTCCCAACTCCAGTACTCGCCGCCGATTCTCCTTCATATATCTTGACAATTATTGGATATTGATGCTAATGCCTGCGACTAGACTACGGACCCGTCAACTATCAGCATCTTGGCCACAGCTCAGGCGCTACCAGGAAGAACGCTACAGAGCTGCAATTTGAACAAGGCCTCTGATATGAGATTCGAATACCTAATTGACCGGCAGACAACAATAATATCTCCGTCGCTGGTTTCGTCTCACATGTCTCAACCTGACAAAAAAACCAAACCATGCCACCGCTTTACCTCGTCCATGGCAGCCCCAGCTTCTTCATTTCCACCGCGAGCTGCAAGATGTAATCGATACTCTCGCACTGGGTCTTGGCCTTGTGCACATTATCGCCCCAGACATAAATCCCATGTCTCCTCACAAGAATCGCATACGAATCCGGGTACTTTTCCATCGCCTCCTCCAAGCTCTCCCTCAAATCCTCTTCGTGCGCTGTGTTCTCGATAATCGGGATGCGCAGCCGGTCGTAGTAGCCCAGGTTCCCTTGCTTGCCCCGCCCCTTTGGTATCCCCTTTATTTGCTCAATCTCTTCAATCTCAAAGCATGCGTCCTTGCCGAAGTCGCGCTCGACGAGGAGAGTGACGAGTACTGCCCATTGCGAATGCGTGTGGATGCAGCATCCGGCGCCGCGCTCAAAGGCTGCCATGAACAGCGGGGTGCAGGCCGAGGGTTTGAGGACCTTGAGTATGGAAATCAGATATGCGCGCCATGCTTGTGTGAAGATGTGTGGTCTGTACCTGTGGCCTCCTGAGGTACTCCTTACTATTGAAGTCCATAACAAACATGTCGGTAGGCTTCATAAGTTCCTTTTGCACGCCACTCGGCGCAATGTATATCTTGTCTTCATGGCGTATGCTTGTTCCTCCGCCAGTACCTGTCACCTGGCGCGATCCCCATTGTTAGCCATGCAGTCAAAAAAGCGCCTCTTCACTTGCTGGCCCCCAATTTCACGGGAGGAATCCTCGTACCCAGCCCAAGTTGTAGAACTTTGCGCAGAGCGTGCAAATGTGGTTTGCCGGGTGGCTTGGGTCGTCAGAGTGCACGAGGACCTCTGGATCCTGTACACTGGAGCTCATTATGACGCTTTTGAAGAATATGTTTCTCTCTCTTTTTAAGGCGCCAAAGTTGGGAGTTTTTCTCAATGCCCAAATGACGCGTTGGGCGACCGCGAAGCTACTACTACCCCACGTGGTCCGGGCGGGCTGGCTGGTACAAGCTCCGTCGAAACTACAACATTGAGAACTTCTGAATGTATTCAAGGAATGTTTTCGTTTATTCAATCTAAACATATTACTCAAGTAAAGACAAGGTCGGCTCGCCTAAGGAGACTACGACCCGTGGTATCATTGACGTCCAGAACGCTCACTACATTATTATATCCTCCACCAAGGTTGCGCAACCGGGTATATCGCAACTACTTAGCCGTCTCGTTTTGCGCCAGAGGAGAGTGATCATGCTCCTTCTTCTTGTCGAGATGAAGCGCATGCTTTAGCTTGTCGCTGAAGCCCTGGCGGTCTGGGGACTGAGAGTGACCACCGTGCTTCTCCTTGTAGACGTTGCCAGCGCCACCTCGCTATATTCATGTCAGCTTTGTCTTCCATACATGCACAACGAGGCCACATACTCCAGTGTGAAACTCTTCCTGTGGGTTGCGCTGGTTGATCTCGGGTACCAGATCGACTGGGCGACCTTCGTCAGACTGCGGGCCAACACGAGGCGACCTGCCCATGTTTCCAGCTCCACCGCGGCCAGTTGAGAATTCGCCTTCGACAGATTCGCCTTGGATGCCTTCGCGAACGAGGCCTCCGTCGGTATAGACAGTATCGTCTTGGCCGATGTTGCCAGCGCCTACATGAACAACAGTCAACTTCTGCTTTCACAAGACATGTACGTTTTCTGGGAAGATGCGACTGACCTCCACGTCCAGTGGAATGAATCTGCGTGCTAGTCATCTTTTCTTTCTTTGCTGCTTCGGGGGTATCTTAAATTCAAAATGTATACGATCGAGATCGCACAGAACCAGTGTTACGACTGAGAGAGTAAATCAGAGTATGACAACAGTCCAGCGCAACGCGACAAGAAAGCCCTTATAGTCATTCCTCCAGTCGGGAGACAACCTCCAAGAGACTGCAATGACGCAATCTCATTTGCGTCCATTGGCAGCGCGGGATGAAAATAAGCTCCCGCAATAAAAACCAGGCATCGGCGTGTCTACGGCTGCAAGTAATTCAACGAAGTTTGCTCGGCCAAGACAAGTTGCAACGACGAGGGACGGCGTCGCGTCTTCACGCAGCCCTCTCATTGTACCGTGTAGGTGGTTTATGCGATGGTGTGAGGTGATCGCCTGATAAGCCAGAGTGAAGTGATTCGCTCTGCAACTGACTAAGCCGCCTACATCCCACTGTTTCCAAGCCTCGAGACTGGCAATCTTACGCGAACATGCACGGGCAAAGAAGCGTGGCTGATGTTGCAAGGTTTACTTGGAAAAGCTGTTGGAGAAGTTTGCAAAGCACGAGGTCCACTGACGTGTGTCTGCCCATCCTGGTGGTCGTCGTCGATCCTGACGCAGGCACAGCAATTTCGTCAACTATGCAGGAACGACGAAATAATTTCACATACCTAGCCATCATAACGAGGTACAAATTCAAGTGCCGTGACACGATGGCAAGCTCATTATCTAATCACAAACCCCCGTTACTTGTAGCGCCACAGAAACTGAGCAAAGCCAACACAGCACGTGTAACGTAGCAGCGTCACACGTTCTTCCAAACACTCGACTCACACTCTCCATACTTGTTTCAAACACACACCTTGACCGTCTTGAGATTTGAGTGAAGTGAAAATGCGCCATCTTTAACGTCCCAACATCTCGATGTGGTACAGAGCTTGTTTACAACCCCAAGGGTGATGTGACTATTATAGCCTACGCGATACGACGGTCTAAGACCCTAATAAAACGAATAGGAAACGGGACAGAACATGGTTATCGTAACAACTCAGAGTATGAAACAAAGGGCCCCATCGCTTGCATTTTCTCAAGACGCAAGGCTTTGGTCGTCGCTGTACCTGGCGTGACCGTCTTCGGCGGACTGAGCTTGCGCTTTGCTCTGGTCTGCATGCTTGGCAGGATCGAAGACGTACATTGGGAATTCCAAGAACAGGGTTCGCTTCAGGAATACCGGCATCCTTGCGTATAGTGCTGGTGGGAAGGGGATGAGAATGCTGGTTCGTTGGAGGTACTTTTCGTACTCAGGCCAATGGCTGCCCTTCTCGTACCTCTTCTTTGCTGCTGGGCGTTCCTGCAGCGTAAGACCTGACACAAACATGAGAAGCAGGGTCAAGAAGAAAGGTCCGAGGATCGACGCGTAGAGGGCATCGTAGGCACCTCCCGAGACGTAGTTGTACGCTGCTGGCGACACAGCAATGGTGAAGATACCTGGGGACTGTTAGCTTCCCCCAAGAGCATATGCACCGCAAGGACCCACCGAACTGAATGATGATCTCCCCGAAGTAGTTGGGATGCCTGGTCCACGCAAAGAATCCCACATCGCAGATCGCACCGTCGCTCCCATGTGCAGTGCGGAACCGATACTTTTGAATGTCGGAAACGCTCTCCATGATGAATCCAATTCCCCAAAGGATAACGCCCGCAATATCACATCCCGTCCCAAAGTCGGGCTGATTGAATTTGGTAACATTCGGCGAGTTGAGTAGCGTCACGGGCAGTGAAACGGTCCAGACCCAAAACATTTGACTACGCTTTCATCAGAAACAACACTCTAAGAACAGGACTGGTCGTATCCACTCACAAGACCCAGAACCCAAGGAATGACCAGAACTTATCCCGCTTATCATCAAACCTATCATCTTTTCCTGTCTTGAGGATACGGAAAAGCAAAAACCCGCTTAGCCGTGCCGCCCATAGCATAATGAAGAGCGAGACGACGATGTTGCGTGGCTCATCCCTATTCTCGCTGAAAGAAAGCGTGAGGATAGCGAGAAGGATGAAATTCGTGCCGCCGGCGAAATCAGTGAGTTTGTCGAATTTCAGGGAAAATGCTATCGCGAAGAAGAAGAGTTGGTAGGCAACTGTAATCAAAAAGGTTATCGCAAGGTAGTAATTGTCGAGCACGTGTACGGCCGCCATGGTGTCGGTTGGTAGAATACTATTGCTCTGTATGCTCCTCGGAGGAGACAGAAGAAGAAAAGAGCACGCGCCTCTACATATAATACACGTTGATTTAGTCGCGCTCTCGCGCCTTACGGAGCCCGGACTATGTGCTCAAGGCAAAATCTCGCCGCTTCTGGCATTTGTTGCGCTCAGAGAAATGTTAGCCCGGTCGGGTCGATGATGCACGTCATCGGGCGGGCCAAGCCACGATACGTAGTGACGACTCTGGCCCGCGATCAGCCGCTTGGTTGCGCATCCCTCCACACCTCATGTATCCATCGATCCAGCAGAATGCACGCCTCGAATCCAGAGCAGCCACGCAGTGCACTCGGGGGCCTAGACATAAACTCGGAAGATCCAACTCCAGACCCGCATGACCCGTGCTGAATAATCTACCCGCACACGACGGGACAGTGAAACTCCGCTCGTGTGAGCTACCCATGTCGCATCTCACGCACAAACCGCATCAGATAGTCTCTTCAGCGGCTAGCCCAGACAAGCTTCTATCGTGAAGCTTCCCACATCCATCACCCGTTTCTTTGCTGAACCGCCCAGAGTTCCTGCATCAAGCCTTTTGATAACAAGGATTGGTCCTGAATAACTAATGCTTTCCACTGGCGTTGCTTTAACCCCCGCCCCCCCGTCTCCAGTCCCCCCCAGGGCGCCCACTTAGTTCTTGAGACACGATGGTTCAAGTTGACCGGTACACGCAACTGCCAAACGCGCGAAACCGCCCGCCCCTCGTCGGGCCTTGCTGGGTTGGTGCAGGAAACAAAAGAATAAGTGGGTAGGGCGCCTGGTTGGGACTGTTAAAGTAACACGATTTGGGGGTGGGTGACTGCATTCTTTGCGGAAGCGCTGGACGTTGCTTGTCTCTTCTCTTTTCTTCTCTCTTACACAGGAAAGGCTTATGCTCCGTGACGATACCCGCTTCTAACTGCCGCCATTGTTTCTGTTTGCGCGGCTCCACCGTTTGGCCCTCTTCTCGCTTCTCTTCGCTCGACGTTCCCCCCCTTTTGTTCTTCTACCTCGTTTTCTTTCCGACGACTTCCTTTGAAATCTGCTGTGCAGATATCCTTGGAGCAGGAAAACAAGGTTTCTTCTGCATGTCGGGGACATATACCTTTTTCGATTCTTCTTTCTTTCCAGCAGGACTGTTGATGTTTTAATTAATGATTGCATTTATTGTTACGCCCTATCTGGATTTTTGCTTTTTCATAACGACGTCGTGCGTATACTAAATTACCATTATGAAGACGACAGCATCGTCCCTGGCTTCGGCCTTGCTGCTAATCAGCGCAGTATGTACACCCCGTTAATCTCATAGTCTGCTGATGCTAAGTATACAAAAGTCTCTTGCTTACGCAAAACTTGATATCCACAATACTCACATACAGACGAATATTGCTGGAAAACGCATCGATGACCTGGTTTCTGGAGTTGATCGGTCTGGAAGCAATGTTTTCGAGAAACGCGACATCCCTGCTATTGAACAGTCAAATCCTCTGGAGAACGCACACATTGTCGCCAGGTCTGCACAGAGCGGTCTGGACGCAGGTGCTCTATTGAATAGCATTGCACCAAGTCAGAGTGTCGGTAACGGAGATATTACCACCAACGACGTTGGTGGAGATATTGCCAATCAGATTGCTGCTGGAAGTACGAATAGCATTGGCAACACTGGCAGTGGGCTAGGTGGACAGACGCAGGGTGGATCGGCGAATGATACTATGGTGCAGGCACAGAGTCAGAATCCTGCGCAGGGGACTACTCAGGGAACTACTCCAGGAGCTGCCCAAGGTCTTGCCCAAGGAACTCCTCAAGGAACAACTCCTGGAACTGCACCAATCAATTCTCCAGGTCAAGGAAGCGACATCATCTCGAACGATGTCGGAGCTGCCCTTGCGAGCCAACTGACACCAGGCGGCGATTCGACCGATGTCAACGTTCAGGATGTTGGTGGAGCTATTGCGAATTCAATCGCACTTGGCGGACAAAGTCAACCAACACCACTACCACAGGGCCAGCAATCACCACAGGGTCAACAGCCACCGCAAGGACAAGCACCGCAACAGAATCCTCCACCACCACCATCGGGTCAGGCACCTCAGGCTATGGCACCCCAACCTATGGCGGCCCCGATGGCGTCTCCAGAAGCATCTCCAGCGACACTTCCTGAAATGGGTTCAGCGCCTCAGGCCATGGCACCCGCAGCAGCTATGGAGGCATCGCCAGCAGCAGCTCCTGAAATGTCTCCAACAGCATCACCTGCAGCGGCTCTAGAAGCGTCCCCAGCGGCGGCTCTGAACGCGTCTTCAGTAGCGTCACCTGCAGCATCTCCGGAAATGTCTCTAGCGCCATCTCCAGAGGCATCTCCCGCAGCAGCTCAAGAAGCATCTCCATCATCATCTGAGATGTCACCAGTGGCATCCCCTGAAGCACCTGCAAAAGCAGCTTCAGAAGCATCTCCTGCCATGTCCTCAGCAATGTCGTCAGGAGGATCTCCCTCTTCCAAGCCCGTCATAACCGTAACACCCCCAGGAAAGTCATCTCTGCCAGCAGTAACACCTATCCCCTGGAGCAACCCACCTTCACAAATGGGGGGAATGAAAAGCAATGCAAGCGCTGAAGGATCAGTCACTCCAGCAGCGCTATCCGCTGAGAGCACCAGCACAATGGTATGTCACTGTAATGCACTCCCAGTATCTAGTGATTGATTACTAACAATAATGGTAGACTGCTGGAACAGAAATGGCTTCGCCAGGCTCAATGGCCAGCAACGGAACCGCTGCAGCTGTAACAGTAATTGCCGAGGGTGGCTCGCCAGCTGCCGCAGAAGCGGTTTCCAGTTCCATGTCCACTAGCATGGCATCAGTCGACACCGCAACCCTGACACCGGGTGGCCTTGCTGCTGCAACCACCACAACAGCAGCAGGTAGCCCTGTTGCAGTCATCGCCCAAGGTAATGTCACCGCCAGCTCCAGCGGCGCCTCGATGACTATGGCATCTGAGGGTGGTTCCGGGGCAAGCAGCCCTATGATGAGCATGGCGTCTGGCAGCAGTGCTGCACCAGCGGCGGCCGCAGTTACAGTTGTTGCAGGGTCAGGAAACTCGTCTGAGCTAGCAGGCATGATGAGTGGCGGGGCTTCTGGATCGTCCATGTCTTCTATGAGTGGAGCCTCGGCTACAGCTGATGCTGCTTCGGGAGGTGTAGCCGGCCCAGTCACTGTTATCGCAGGCAATGGAACATCGCCGACTGCTGCTGCTGAGGCTGCCAGTGGATCAACCTCCATGGCCTCTGGTATGAGCTCGGAATCTATGGGCTCGAGTGGTGGTTCCTCAAACGGAACGTCGGTCGGACCTGCAGTCACTGTTATAGCAGGTGGTGGCGAGGCAGCTGCAGCCGCTGCGACGCGAGCAGCGGAAAACGGAGGCTGCAATTGCTCTTGTCTATGTCCTGCTGGTTCCTTCTCTATGGCACCGCCACCGGCCCCAGCGTTCCAGTTGGGCTCTTCGAGCACAATGCAGACCATGGTTGCCAGTCCCATCACTGTTGAAGCAGGAAGCAGTACAGCAGGTGCAAGTTCAGGTTCCAGCTCCAGCTCCAGCTCCAGCTCCAGTTCGGCCTCGAGCGAATCCAGCATCACATCCATGTCCAGTGAATCCTCCTCCGCAACCTCATCCCCAATATCCACAACTTCTTCCTCCGCCGCATCGTCAACGTCTGCCGAAGCAGCTAGCTCGAGCTCTGCAGCTACACCTGCAGCAACTACCTCGTCCTCTTCATCATCAGCAGCGACCAGCATCTCCGCTCAAAGCCAAATCGCAGCCGATGCACCGCCCGTGCCTACACCTATTGGCGGTACGGAAACGCCCACTGGCGGACTCCCGTTTAACATCAACACTGTTGATTTGCAGAGTCGTGTTACGGTGAATTTGGGAAGGAGGCTGGCGAAGCCGACCGAGGCGGCTAGGGGGTGGTGGTGAAAGTAAGTAGGTAGTAGTAGTATTAGGATCATTGTTAGTATTGTTTGGACTGGTTTTTGTGGGTTCTCTTTATGGTATATATATATATAATTGGTTTAGTAGGGCACTGAGTGCGTCTGCTTTGCTGTGACACGGTTGGATTAATTTATGAAAAGATGAAATATAACAGTACAAGAAGATCATGGCGTTCTGTTGGCGCGTCTATTTGGGTATCTTTTTTTACTCTTGAAATAAGCACTTTTGTAATTATACGGTCTGTTGTTGTTCCTGGCCTGCTTCCTGGACTTTTGCCTTTTTGTTCTTTGCTTGTTGGCGCTTGGAGATGGGCTTTTCGGCTTTTGTCTCGTGTGTGGGGATGGAGTCTAACGTCTCGCCTGGCCGCTTGCCGTTTTGGTTCTTATTTGCTTTTCCCTTTTGAGCGGCTTTATCTTTTGTCTCATGCGCTGGCTTCTCGCCGCCGTGGACGATATCAACTATGCCCTTGAAGCTCTGTCGCTTGAGGTGGGCAAACTCTACGACGCTTCGTGGCTCTTTGGTGAGGCCGTCCTTGCCCTTTTCTGTGCCGAGTCCCCATACGGAAGCGAGGTTGATGATGTCGCTGGGTGCCCGTATGCCCAGAGCAGTGTTTGCCTCGGAGCTAAATATCAGGCCGCGGCCTCTGGTGACGCGAATGAGTTGGACTGCGTTGCTAATGACATTGCGCTTTGCAGCAGGATCATTTGATAGGATGCCTTGGCTATAACATATCTCAATCTTGATTCCTCGTGCTATAGCGGTGCCGAGCATAGGAAACTTGAAGTGTGTTTCGAAGCGGGTGGTAAGGTCGAGCGAGATGATATCCACGTCGAGGCTCTGGCATGCCTGCTGCAGGGTGCGCTCGTCGGTGGGCCGGGCAGCAACCAGGTCATAATGCTGCTGCAGCTGGGGGATGCGGAAATTGGATGCCGAGTCAGTGAGGAAGATGTTACAGCGGCGCAGGATGCGTATCCGGGCAGGTACGGGGAAAGGCAGGCTGGTGGGTACGGGGGAAGTCTGGTGGTGAAAGGCATTGATCAGCGTGGCGTCGCAGGCGCAGGCGCAAGTGAAACTGGAAAGTGGAAGCTACAACTGGAGCAGCAGCGTGGGCACCTACTATATCAGTGGGAAGCCTCCCAGTATATGTGTGCGTGAGAGCAACGACATCGTATCCTACTGCATTGCATCAGCCCGGCGCTCGCTGCATTGCATCACTACGACGCCCAAGGGTTGCCCGGTAGCTCACATTCGTCAAGAAAAGCGATTGTCCGCTGCAGTCCCGGTGTCGCGCCAGGCCAGGGCACGTGCAGATCGTGGAACATCTTCCGCAATGGCGTCGGCAGGCACAGAACGAGTGGTGGGAGTGGGAGAGGGCGTGGGAGAGGGCGTGGGAGAGAGCGCGGTAAGGCTGCGGAAGAGCAAAATAGGTAAGTCTACCAAGATCGTCACTGGGCGGTTCGCATCAAAAAAACCTTAGCATTTGGTGCCGAAGCTTGGCCCTGGAATGCTTTGCTGAGCGGAACTGAACTGGTCTAACGCACACACAAGCCACCCTCGGCCAGGACTGCGACCACCATCTCCCCCCTCACCACCACCGCCCCCAGCAACTCCTCGACGTCGATACGGCACAGAGCGAGCCCTCACTAGCCGCACCACCGCCACACGCCCGGTCGCCCCAGCCACAGCACGAGTGCCACGCCCACCGTCACCGCCTCTTTAGGCTGCTGTACTGGACAAAGATACAGGGCGCCGTCGCTGTGCTTGCTGTTGCTGTTGCTGTTGCTGTTGCTGCTGCCGGCCTCGCCCTGGTCCTCTGCCTGCCGCCGCTGTGTGCTCCCGCCAGCCTCCGCCCTCTGCCCCCACTCCCACCAACTCCAACTCCAACTCCAGCACAAACACCACCACCTCCGTCACCACCACCACGCGACCCCCCGCCCCCGCCTGCCCACACCCCCTTCGCTGCCACCATGGCGCTCAACAACTCGAGCGGCGCCACGAGCATCGCCCGCGTCTATGCCGATGTCAACGCAAACATGCCCCGCTCCTACTGGGACTACGACTCGGTCAACATCTCGTGGGGCGTGCTGGAAAACTACGAGGTTGTCCGCAAGATTGGCCGCGGAAAGTACTCCGAGGTCTTTGAGGGCATCAACGTCGTCAACTACCAGAAATGCGTCATCAAGGTCCTCAAGCCCGTCAAGAAGAAGAAGATCAAGCGTGAAATCAAGATTCTGCAGAACTTGTCGGGCGGCCCCAACATTGTCTCGCTGCTCGACGTGGTGCGCGACAACCAGGTGAGTGCCGATTTTGACCTGGGCTTGGCGCCTGGGTACCGCTGCTGCTGCTGCTAACACGCAACGCATAGAGCAAAACCCCTTCGCTCATATTCGAATATGTCAACAACACCGACTTCCGCAGTCTGTACCCCAAGTTTCAGGACTTTGATGTGCGCTTCTACATCTTCGAGCTGCTCAAGGCCCTCGACTTCTGCCACAGCAAGGGCATCATGCACCGCGATGTCAAGCCTCACAACGTTATGATTGACCACGAGAAGCGAAAGGTGCGCATTGTAAACTGACGCACGCGCACCGCTGCTAACCCAAGCCTAGTTGCGCCTGATTGATTGGGGTCTGGCCGAGTTCTACCATGCAGGAACAGAGTACAACGTCCGCGTTGCGTCGCGTTACTTCAAGGGTCCCGAGCTGCTAGTCGACTTCCAGGAATACGACTACTCGCTCGACATGTGGTCGCTGGGCGCCATGTTTGCCTCGATGATCTTCAGGCGAGAACCCTTTTTCCACGGTAACAGCAACTCGGACCAGCTGGTCAAGATTGCAAAGGTCCTTGGCACCGAGGACCTCTTCGACTACCTCGACAAGTACGACATTGAACTGGATGCCCAATACGATGACATACTCAGTCGATATCCCAAGAAACCCTGGCACTCGTTTATCAACGCCGAGAACCAGCGCTTTGTTAGCAACGACGCCATTGACTTTCTTGACAAGTTGCTACGATATGACCACCAGGTAAGCCCAGTCAGCACCTGCGCTTTACAGCGCCTCCCCTGCTAATACACGCACTAGGAACGACTTACTGCCCAAGAGGCCATGTCGCATCCATACTTTGCTCCTGTCCGACAAGCTGCGCAGCAGAACAGCACCGCGGCATGATTGAGATACCCAATTCACGTGATTAGATGTTATGTAATGGCATAAAAGCACAGGCGCCCAACCCTTTACTCAAACCAGAGCATTCTACTTGCAGTCACGCTCTGAGCGTGGCGGACTATCTGGCGTGCCGGCGCGCACACGGGGCATGAACAATGGAGTGATATATATGCAGGGCAAAAGACGGGGTACTGTTCTTGGATAGGCCATGAGAGAACGGCAACGGCCCAGCGCAGGCGTATTTTTGCGACCAACGCTTTAGGGCTGACGGTCAGAATAATGCATAGCCAAGGTGTTAGTGGGCTTGTACAAGTGTCCAATGGAGTGAGTCCTCTTTCTCGAATGTTATCAACCAATATGGTACCATGATGTGGACTTCAACCAGTGATTGCTTCGAACGACTTGACAGTGTCAATTGTGCTAGGGCCAAGGCATTTTCATGAGCAGTTCATCAACGGCTGCACCGTTCCCTAAGAGTTCACCTAGACGCGTAGGCGGGGTCAGATCAGACGCTCGGACTCAATGTGGGGGTGACGCATGCCGGACTTCGAAGACTCACACCCAGTCACTATTTTTTGTTAATGTTGCCCCGCCCCGTGCTCACTACACTGCGCGCTGCTTGCAGACAATCCCTCACACATACTAGTTCCTTCAGACACAGACTACAGTTACCATCGCGAATCTACACTGCCCTCCACCCTCAGTCTTCGGCTCACGCTGGGCGCGTGCTCATACTGCACCACCACTACTCAACCCCAACCATGGCGCTCAATGCGTCCTCCCACAACACCACGGGGGACAAGACGGCACCCAACACCGCCCCGCCGCCCGAGCTGAGCGGAGAATCCAAAAAGGACATTCTCAGCGCCGCAGAAACCGAAGCCACTGGCCAGCATGCGCCCGGTCGCGAGAATGAAAAGGGCGTAGAGAAGAAGGAGAAGACTGCCAAGGAGCTCGAGAAGGAGAGGAAAAAGGCGGAAAAAGATGCAAAGTTCAAGGCCAAAAAGGCTGCCGCTGCTGGCGCTGCCAAGGATGCTCCGGCAAAGGAGAAGAAAAAGAAGGGCAAAGAAGAGGAGCAACTGCCTGAGTACGTCGAGCAGACACCAAAGGGCGAGAAGAAGCGTCTTCAGAGCTTGGACGGTCCATACACAAAGGCATACATTCCCAAGGTTGTCGAGTCTGCATGGGATGCTTGGTGGGATGCTCAAGGCTTCTTCAAGCCTCAGTTCGCAGAGGATGGTAATGTCAAGGCCCCTGGCCATTTCGTCATTCCCATCCCACCACCCAACGTCACGGGTAAGCTGCACTGTGGACATGCGCTCGCAACGAGTCTTCAAGATGTCCTGATAAGGTGGCACAGGATGAGAGGCTACACTACGCTGTATCTTCCTGGTTGCGATCACGCTGGTATTGCTACGCAGTCCGTTGTTGAGAAGATGTTGAAGCGGAGGGAGAACAAGACCCGATATGACCTGGGTCGCCAAAAGTTCCTCGAGAGGACTATGGAGTGGAAGGAAGAGTACCACCGGCATCTAACCAACACCCTGCGCCGAATGGGTGGTTCCTTTGACTGGACGCGCGAGGCCTTTACTATGGATGAGAATCTGTCAAAAGCAGTCACAGAGACGTTTGTTCGCCTCCATGAAGATGGTCTGATTTACCGAAGTAACAGACTGGTCAACTGGTGTACAGCCTTGAATACGGCCTTGAGTGCTCTTGAAGTCGATAACAAGGATCTGGCTGGCCCGACTAAGCTGTCTGTTCCGGGATACGAGAGAATGGTCGAGTTCGGTGTCCTTACTCACTTCAAGGTAT